TAGACCATCTGTCAGAATCTAGCTGCCACCAGCCTCAGCATACCAAAGACTCTCCCGTTGTTATATATATATATATATATATATATATATAATTATGCGAAGCTGATAGGGGTGCTGCTACTAAGGGATTGTAAGCATATACCTTGTTGCAGCGCCATGCTGTTTACTGAAGCCAGAACTATAAACCAAAGGATTGAGGTTACTCACATGTCTGTAGTAGTCCGTCTCGGTGTGCGTTCTCTACAGCTATGATAAAAAAATAACTGGACATCCTACGCAGCGGTTGCTTCTAGAAAAATGCCGTCAAAGACACCTGTGACTCCAATTACCGGAGAGGTCAAAACTGTGCCTCAACGTGGATCGTTATCGCCAGTGCGGTTCACAAATCCACAAAAAACAAAAGATCCTAGTGCTCTTACGTCGCGAACCACAAGGCGGAATCATGGTGCCTTAAGTCTTGTGTGCACTAACGTTCCTGAATCCAAATCCAACACAATAAGGGGAAAATTGATAGACAATCGTAGTCAGTGGGATTCCATCTGTAGTGCCATCAGCATGCGCGCTGAACCCACTACGCTGAATAGCATCGCACGACACCCAGTTACCTTACCCTATGTTGAGCCTCGACTATTTCGAGTAACACTACATTCCGCGGACGAAACGGAATCCATTCTGCTCGCTGCAAATCGACACCACAGAGCATCGAACGGATACGTATCTTACAGGATATTCCGTGGAAAGAACGTTCAAAGAATATGAAAGATTAACTGGGAAGTAGAAAACACGGTCTGAAAACCGTCATTATTCATGGCATCCCCGAGTATCAAGCTTCATCTCCTGAAGAAGCTCAGGCACATGACCTGAGCAATGGCGATACATTCGTGAGGCGCTGTCTTCAGAAAATGTCATTGCTACCTCCCTGACCAGGATTCCCGTGTCACCAAATTGCAAAGGGTGTGGTCCTAGGTTGCTGAAATTGGCCTTACCTTCTAAGCTAACTTTACAGACAGTTCCAGAGAACTGGGGTAACTTCCGGAACATGCTACCAACAGAAATTCGATTAAAAGCAGCAGGTTTACGACCAGATGCTACTGGTTACTCCATGGAGAGAATCACCTCAGTGGGAACAACTGTTGTTAAAGAGTTCACCACAACGACTGATCTGACTGCCCTCATAGCATCCGGCGAGACACTGCAGGAGGTGCGTGACCATCAGGATCATCATGAACCTGATCACAGGGTGTAGAGAGTTATTACAAGTCATTCTCTCACGCCTAAGACAATTAAAAAAAACTAGTAGCAGCCGACATCAAAAGGCTCGGCCAAGTCTTAAACCTGTTGTCTACATCCACAAACAACCTTCTAACCTATGAGTCACTCTCCTGTTTTTATACCAACGCACAAGGTCTTTTAAGAAAACTGACGGAGCTTCACCTGCGTCAGACTTCGATGTCAAGGGACCTCGTTATGATAACCGAGACATGGTTGAATGAAGCGATCACTGATGCGGAAATCGCACTAGCTGGGATGTCTATCCTACGCAACGATCGACCAAGTAGAGGAGATGGAGTACTACTTTATCACTGCAGCGAACTACACCTTGATCTCATCGATGACCCAGAAGTTCAGATTGTCGATGCGCTTTGGTGTCGTCTTCACCTAAGCCGTGGGGACGCATGTTTGTTGGATGTGGTGTATCGCCCTCCGTCAGTTACTTTGGAAATGGACAACCGCCTAGCCTCGACAATGAAGACCATTCTCTCGCAGTCGTACACCCACATTCTCCTGATTGGTGACTTCAATATTCATACCATAGAAACCCCAGCCTGTACCAAGGAACACTTCAAAATGGAAGTGCAGGAGATAATTAGTGGACTACCACTCTACAATCACATCACATCTCCTGCAAGTTTCAGGACGGAAAACAAACCGAGTGTCCTGGATCTTGTAGTCACCAATGAATAGCTTATGATCGAAACGGTATCGATAGGGAGTCCTTTAGGCCGTAGAGACCATGCTGCCCTCATGTTCAAGTACATCGGTGATGCAGAGTATTCCTCAGAAAACACCGAAGAGTGTCAGCTCATTACTGATTACGGCGCTCTAATCAAACTTATAAATGCTACAAACTGGTCATTTCTAACAGAACCATCCCCCGATGTCGCCTGGTCTGAATTTACTCACCAATTCAACACGTTAGTAAATAGTGCTTCTAGGAAAAGACCTTCGCGAGCGAAGAAAGTAAAATCATTCATACGCAACAGGACACGCAAGTGTATCGTTACGAGGAACTTACTCTGGCGAAGATACAAGGAGTCATCGAGTGCTGAAACATGGGAAGCCTACACTATCCAAAGGAATCACCGCGTAAACCTGGTACGCGAAGATAAACTACAACACCAACAGAATCTAGCCGAGAAATTCCTTTCAAACCCAAGACTCATGTACAGACAGGTTAACAAGCTCCGCAAAGTGCAGCGAGGAATTCCTGCTTTACACACATTGTGTGGACTTGCACAAAACGCAACCGAGGCGGCCAACGCCCTATGTCAACAATTCGCCTCGAACTTCCTGAGCACGAAATCGCCGCAGACACTGTTCCCGATCGTTGTATCACCACCAGGACTTACCCACATCGTGTTTACGACTGCGGATGTTATGAAAAGGCCAATTGCCCTGTGCGAGCATATCTCTCCCGGCGTTGATAATATTCGTCCAAAAGCGTTAAAATTGGCTGCAGTAAACCTGGCGGACCCACTCTGCAACTTCTTTCAACGATGTCTCGATGAGATGCGAGTGCCAAAAATGTGGAAGCAGGGCATCGTCACTCCCATCCATAAAGGGGAAAGTCGTACAGATCCGGCCAACTAGCGCCCGATAACACTACTTCCAGTGCTCACCAAAATCATGGAAGCGATTGTTGCCGAAGCGCTGATGAACTTCTTGGAAGAACGCAATATCATAGCACAAGAACAACATGGACTTCGCAAGAACGGATCTTGCACTTCAACCTTGCTGCCTGAGAGATCCAGTTTGACTGAGACCGTTGACAGCGGCGTAGGTGTTGACGCAGTATATCTGGACTTCTCAAAGCGTTTCGACCGTCTGAACCACCGTATCCTCCTTCACAAGCTGCAGTGTTGTGGAATTGGTGACCCAGTTCTCGGTTGGATAGGTAACTTCTTACTTCAACAACATCTGAATGTTAGAGTTCGCGGCGTCACCTCTGACTCAATCGACGTTAAGTGCGGAGTGCCCCAGGGCTCAGTACTTGGTCCACGACTATTCCTGATTTACCTAAACTATCTCGCGACAGTAATCAGCTCCAACTCCTTACTCTTCGCTGATGATCACAAGATATGGCAAGCCATTAGAACAACCAGCGATAATGCAGCACTTCAGGATGAACTTGGCAGGGTCTACAAATGGTCGACTCAGAACCCGCTTCAGTTCAACGCTACGAACTGCAAGGTGTTGAGCATACGTCATAAAGCCACTTGCGAATACAGGCTGGGGGATCAAATATTGCAGCACACTTTAACGGAATGCGATCTAGGCGTGATAGTGCATGAAGATCTGGGCTGTTCCCGTCAGGCTGAGAAAGCCTCCAAAAAAGCTAACCAACACCTTGGCCTTTTGCGGAGGGCATTCGGGTGCTTTGAACCTTCCATCTTTTCTCAGATGCTCAACGCCTACATTCGGCCTCATTCTGAGTATGCCATGCACGCCTGGCAACCATGGCAAGAGCAAGACCTTACCGCCCTTGAACCATCACAACAAAGGGCGACAAAGAGCCTAAAGGGTCTGTTTCATCTCCCTTACCGATTAAGGCTGAAAACCCTCGGGGTCTAAAATGGACAATATCGACGCCTGCGTGACGACTTGATAATGACTTATATGATCCTGAGGAATCCAAACCATTCTTGTCGTCACCTACTAAAGATAAATCGCAGTACAACACTCAGAGGACACCAGCTAAAGCTGGTCACACAACACAGCCGGTTGGAATGCCGCCGGAATTTCTTTTCCCTTCGTGTGTGTCAACACTGGAATGCACTTCCCACATACATTGTTTCTTCCCCCACGCTAACGGTATTCAAAAGACGTCTGGATGATTCACTTATCCACTTACACTGCACTATATAACCAGAGATGTCTACGTCAACCAAACGCAAACAAACGGTGCTCATTCTCAGCTTTTGTGCTTCACTACTTACACGCTGCTGTTGTGGAATATAGTTCCAGATATATTACAATTGCATTCATCAATTACCTCAGTCCAAGAAAGCGGCGCACGAGTAGGCGTTGACTTTTCTTTTGTTCTTAAGACACCTTCCCCATATTACTTCCCATATTACTCTACATTAACAATTCAGTACACATTCTACAATGTTTATATGAATAAGGGGCACCTGAATCGCTAGACGCTTAAATGGACGGTTTACACTTATGTTTGCTTTCACTTCAACCATCCTACGGGACTTGTAAAGCAATCGCTTTTTTACCTGTAATATATCGTTGTGCATTGTTCGTTATGACGGTGATTGGAGGAAAGCACATGGTAGCGGAATGTGTTAAGGGATCAAGAGGGTTTGATGCCAGTCTTTTTATGGATGGAAGTCACGGGATAAACCACATTGTCGCAGTTGCAGTGAGCTATGCACCTGCACTATATTCATCGCAAAACATAAAATCTTTCAGTATTTAGCGAGTTCAACTTTTAGCCGTCAGCTGCTTGTCTTTATCTTCATTGTCCGCGTCTCGTTGTATTTTGTTTACTAGCGCTAGGCTGCTGTGGAAGTCCAGATCCGCGTCACATTTACCAGTCCAACCCGTAACCTGTATCCAGACCCACAGCTCACGACGGTTGCACGTTAGCCAAACGCTTGCTCGAGGGAATTAAAATTTCGTTAGAATCATCGCTGGGACTGGAGACGAGCTCCTGTCACAAAATATTAGGTTTTACGTAACACATATGCATTTATGTTTTTTTACAGCAGCTCAAGAATGTATGATGGATCTGAGGCACAAATGCAAGTATATTAGACCGGTCAATTTTGAAGAGATCCAAAAGCTGACGGAAGGATGCAAAGCACGATCCCGAGATTTTGATACTGAACTTGCTAAATTATCCAAAGCAAGAGCTCGATTGAAAACAGTACAACTGGAAAGCAACCTCGCAAATATTTGGAGAGAGGAACACAGAGCATTGCGAAAAGAAGAGATTGAAGCAACCATTTTGATTCAAGATCCTTTGTACAAATGGATTTTCGCCAACTCAGAGATTGCCGAACTTACAGAAGAACTTGACGCAGACAGACAAAGGTTCGAGACAGAGTTACTGAAACCTATATGGACCTTGAGGTAAGCATACGCGGTCTGGTAAACAAGCATAACAGAAATGATCTGAAAACATGGGTAGAGTGCAAAAAGAAAAATGTGCAAATTATGGATGAGAGTTCCATCAAGAAGATTGTTGAAAATATGCATGGCGCACTGAAACAACTGAACTCTGATCTAGAATCTCAGGAGTTTGCTAACAGCGGTAAAGCGGAAGACTAAATGCATCTGAGAAATGTTTATCTTTAGACAGCTGCGAGAGTCAAAAAGCATTTCATATAAACTTGAAAGAAATAGGCATACCAGAGGATGCTTGGCTTTGGGAAACACCTAGTGCGGAATTACTGGCGGAGTTATTGGCCGACTTTATACACCTGGATGGAATATTTCATAGCAAACTGGAGGATGTACGCGCAGAATTCAACGCGCTCCTTTTACAAGGGTGAGTTAATGTAGTGAACTTCACGCTGCTTACCAGCTGACCTAGGAATGGTAAAGGTAGGTTAAATGGATAAACGTCGATGTATCCAACTGCAAGTAGGAAATGACTCTTTTATCCTGATAGCTTTCCAACCTATTTTATTATCTTTATCAGTTATCCGAAAGTGTCACAAGTATTTGGTCATAGCGGCTGGTGTTCGGATCTCGGGATACTTAATACTCACTCATCAGATGTTTGGAAGCCAAGGCATCACGGCATACCCACGTGAATTACCCTAGGTTATAGCGCGACTTGTCGCGAAATTTGTCGCATTATCGTTTAAAATTCAGGAGATGCCGGAATTCATGTCATCAGACAACTTTATTCCGAAGACATAATCAGATACCTAGGCAGCTTCCTTCTAAGTTAAAAGTTTATTATTTCAAAATCTCCCATCACCTTCCGATAATTGGGAAGCACCCTGCCTCGTATATAAGCGAAGCAAATAACTGGTGACTATGTGCGGGGTAACGCAGTCTGAAGACTTTGCCCGATTCCCTATCGATTATCAACATTCATAGCGGTGGAGGATAAACCACCCTTCATTGCAGTCAGGGATTTGTCATGATGATCCAAATGTGTCCCTGGCGGCTCGGTGACTCAAGCAAATGACTCATAACAGGAGAGATGTTAATTCGAGCCTCACAGGATTGGAGGGACAAGGGTATACAAAACAACGCACGAAAGAGCGAGGTAGCGGGGTGTGTGACTTTTCCGAATGTATAGTAACCATCTGACTGAGTCTGACCAGCGTATTGCGTCAAAATTAAGTAGTAACATTCTGATTTCACAACGCACCACGTCGTCCGTTTGCTGACCACAAAACTTGTAATACGCAGTTTTAATAAGTGTGCTACTTTTGCATGCTTCGATTTCCAAAAGAAAATATGCGGTAAGCTTTCGACAAATAATGGTTTTTGATTAATTCATCATCAAGTCGTTACAATAATGGACGCTACTTTGGAATAGGTTGGACTACTATACAACACATCAATAGACTATACACTTCAAAGTGCCTTCCCGACATTGATCAGCTGATCAAGTCACAGATGTCACCTGAGTGTTGGGATGTCATCCCTTCTGTTTGTTTATGGTTAGCCAACTGAATTGTAGCGATTGAACCATCTTTTGGATGCATAATATTGGATTCGTCGGTTTTCTGCATACCGCCTCCGTGGTAGCACACAGTTGATTCCTTATTCGGTGGTTTGGGAGTGGTAGTACTTTGTTTACTATGTCAAAAGCGGTTTGTTTGTCAACTTGGTGTCTGGCGACTATCGGATGGTTTGTTATTGAACTGAGGCTGGTTCTGTTTGCCTGGTTGTTGCTCCAATGCAGATGTTCTTCAATTATCTTCCGTCAGTGTCTTGTCGTTTGTCCAATGTACCTAGACCGGCAAAACTGGTAAACAAATAATTTCTCATTGACTGGAGACTGTCAGGCGGTAGGTCTATGCATTTTGATACAAATAGAGGATGGCTGGTATAAAGCATATTTAAATCAGATGCGTTAAGTCTTCCCGCAGCTTTGTATCAGCCTGCGTCTACAGAGTTCCGTTGCTGTGTCCTCTTTGTAAAGAAGGTTAAAAATAGGTGCTTATTTTGGACTGTTTGTGTTTTTAGACTGGTACTATTCTGCTTCATATAGATCTCAATGAAGTTTTCCGGATACCCATGCTTGAGAAGCACCTATTTATCAGCCTCAGATGGTCCACAATAGTGTCCTCGCTGCAGCTCTTAAATGCGCGCTTTATTAAGGCATGTCCTTGCGTTCTCTTGCGGCTGAGTGGGATAAATCTGTGAAAATTAGTATATTGACCAGTCCCGTATGGTTTTCTTTTCCCACTAATCTGTAATGATCCATCATTTCTTCCCCTTTGTTTTACGTTAAGGAGTTTCATCTGATTGTTACTTGCGTCTGCAATTGTAAATGCTGCGTTTGTATGTGGTTTGCTGAAGCCTTCGACGACTTACTGCAAGCAGGCTTTTCGATCTTACATACAGAATATATCGTCTACATAACGCCGGTATAATTGCAAGCATAAATTGACAGTTTTCAGTAGGCCACGTTCTAGTATTCCAAAATAGGTGTCAGCCAGCAGCGGACCTAATGGGGATCCCATTGCAACACCATCAAGCTAGCCATACAGCTCATTGTTAAATTGAAACATGACATCGCAAGTGAATCTGTGGAGAAGCTGTTACAAATGGAAAGTCGGTAAGATAGGATTTATTCCTTGCTGGTCAGTGTAATTGCTCAGAAAATTGACCATTTTCAACAAAGGCACACTGGTAAGTAGCGAAATGATGTCAAGGGAGGACATCCGATATCCCGGATATTCATGCTCCGGACCGCTTCAAAAAACTGAAATGTTTTCTCAGGCAATACAGGGCTATCATTTAGCTGATAGGTACTAGTATTTTTGTCATCCTTCTTGCAATACTATGGCACAGTGAACTCCTCATGTCTGATATTGATCTTAGCGGTATGCCGGGATAGTGTATCTTAGGGAAACCATAAATGCATGGAATCAGGCAGTCGGTAGGGCGAAGCGTTTCAGATGTTTCCTTTGTTATGAAACGGTTGCTTACTAGCAACTTTATCGATTTGGTCATTTACGTTTAGGTGTAGTCCATTTTGTCTTTCGCACGATCATATTTCAGGAACCGTACGGCATCAGAGCGGATCACTTTCATTTCTCCTTATCTTCATCGCGATACGTGCTTACGGTTTCTGCTCCTTTGTCTGGCTTGGTTATAATAATGTCTTCTCCTTGTTGGAGTTCTCTCAGAGCAACAACGTTTACATTGCAACAACTGGTGGCGCTTTATAGGGTACTTTAGAAACTGAAAGAAGTTGACCAGAGTTGAATTAAAATGTACAAGGTTGGCAAAGGTAGTGGGGGAAACATCGCTCGTCTGGTTCTTAAGATGTTAAAACTGCTCTTCGAAAACAAGTCGAATTCTCTAAATTAAAAATGAATGAAGATTAATTTTCGGCAGTGGAGCACAATAGCACAGGCATAGTCCTCACCAACACCGTCATCATCATCATCATCATCCTCATCACCACCACCACCATCATCATCATCATCCTCATCATCCTCCTCAGCATCATCATCAGCATCAGCATCATGAAACCGGGGCCACACAGCATATCAACCAACCGACACGCATTACTGCGCGCGCGACTCCATCGTGCTTAGACCAGCTTTTGACTAGCTGTGAGCAGCGTGTGCATAACATTCAGGTCTTAGAGCCTCTGGGAGCGTGACCATTCGATGATCATAGGCAGGTTAGAACTTCCGCTGCCGTATTCTCCCCCACTGGAGCCAGCATTCAACTATTGGAAGGCGGACTTTAATGGCCTCATTCGAGCAGCGAGCCAGATAGACTGGTTTTCACCACAGGATTCATCTATTGAAACCTGTTGGACTATCATTAAAGAGGGAGTGAAATCGTCGTGCGCCCGATTTGTACCCCTCAAATTTCGGAAAGTTGGGCCAGTCAAACCACATTGGTTCGACAAAGAGTACAGCAAACTGGCCCGACGGCGACGCAGACTATGGAACAAATTCGTGTTATCTGATTCCGATGAAGACTACAAGGCGTACAAGGTACAGCGAGATCGCTGCAACAACGCGAAAGCAAGTAAACGCAGAAGGTTCGAAGAGGAGCTTGCAACCGCCGCAAAAACTGCTCCCAAGAGGATCTTCGCATACGTGAAGCGGCGTCTGAGGCCTGCAGCCATTGTCCCAGTGTTAGAAGGCTCCGATTGATAGCTCCTAACCTCGAGTACAGATCGTGCGTCCGCACTGGCAGCGCATTTCGCCTCTGTATTTGCAAGTGACCAGATGTCTGTAACGAGTTCCACGAGTACCGCTCCACCTGAACTTGACAGCCTGGACTGCAGTATTGAAGATGTACGCAGGCTTCTAGCAAATGTTGACGGGACGAAGCCTGCTGGGCCAGATGGAATCCACCCACTGATTCTCAAGTCCCTATCGGCCATCATCGTGCCTTCTGTAACTGAGCTGTTCAACAAGTCAATATCCACTGGACTGTTACCGGACGACTGGAAAGGCTCAATCGTAAAGCTCATGCCGAAAGGTGGTAACCCAAGCAAAGTGGATAACTACCGGCCGATCTGCCTGACCGCCGTTTTGGCAAAGAAGCTCGAGAAAATCGTGAGGAAGAGCCTTCTGCAGCTTCTCGAGTGGAAAGGCCTCTTGGCGTCGGCACAGCATGGTTTCCTGAAAGGTCACTCGTGCATCACCAACCTGTTGCTGACGAGGCACGAATGGTTACAAGCGCTGAACGAAGGCCCTTCTGTTGACGTCATTTACACTGACTTCAGTAAAGGTAAATCATGCAGTGCTCCTCGACAGGCTGAGAATGTGCGGCGTTGGCGGTTCTCTGCAACAATGGATCAAGAATTTCCTTGTTAATCGAAAGTGGAGAGTCCAGGTGGACAACCATCTAACCGACTGGTATCCATCGAGCAGCGGCGTGCCCCAAGGCACTGAACTGGGGCCGATATTGTTTCTGATCCATGTAAATGATGTGCTTCAGCTACTCCAATCACCTTGTGTGTTGTTCGCGGATGACTTGAAGGTGTGGAGAATAATCCGCTCACTCAATGATTGTGATTTGCTTCAGCAGGACCTCAACCGCCTCTCCACGTGGTCTGCAGATGTCAACCTCCCAATCAACCCGGTCAAGTCGCAATTGGTGCGGCTGGGTAAATGTGAGCACTGCCGAACGTACACGGTGGCTGGTCAACTGTTGCATCCCGCGCCCTTCGTGCGCGACCTCGGTGTACTCTCACGATACGATCTAAAGTCCACGGACCACACGAGTAGGCTGGACCAAAACAGCCTTCCTATGCTTTGGGCGCTCAGGCGCAACTTCAGCACTTGATCCGAAGAGATTGCCACTCGCCTCTTCGTATCAGTAATACGA